TCTTGCCCTCTCTCTGTGTCCCTCTCTGGTCAAATTTAAATAGATAGGTAGGTAGGTAGATAGATAGATAGATAGATAGATAGATAAAATCATTCTTTTTTGTTGAGAGGTTTTTGCTACTGGGTGTGTGTGCTCGTATAGAGAGACAGAGAGCGAGAAATCACCCCCCAGAGGGGATGGCCACGCCACAATCTCTTCTCCATTTTCCTCTTGGGATCTTGGGCACACACGCACACGCGCCTGGCGTGAGTTTTAAGCCACTGGGTCCGGGATGCGAACTGCGGTCGACTACGTGGGAGTTCAGCAACATAGCCATTACGTTAACTGCTGGTTCTAATAATATCATTCTTAAAAAATAATAAATGAATAAAAACCTAGGCTGATTACGTTTCTTTAATAATGAAGGCATTTGGGACTAGCAGGTAGCATAGTGTTTAAGGTGCTGGACTACCATGTGTTGACTGTGGTTTGAGTCACAGATGCAATGGCTTGAAATTTATGCCACATGTGTGTGCTATGTGCCCCAAGTCCTGAGAGGAGAATGGAGGAGAAGCAATCATGATATGGCTATCCTCCCAGGGGGACGAGTTCTCACTTTCTGTCTTGTCTTTCCAGCAAGCACATATGCCCTATGGCAAAAATCTCTCTAAAACAAACAAACAAAAAGAATAGAAGAGAAGGCAGGCATTTAACACCAAAACTAGCTATAGAAAAAGAGGGGGAGCCATGAGAAGGTGGGATATCTGAGAAAGAAATAAAGATCAAGACCAGCTAATGGGAAGTAATTTGCCCCTGTACAAGGGTGCTGCATAAAGTCCATGGGAAATGGAATTGGATTATGAATTTATTTTGATACAAATAATTTTTGAAATTTGTTAGTTTTTTTAATAATATGTATTTTAATGAACTTTTTGAAGACCCTCCCCTCATATTTTAGACCACATCACCTTTGTCTTGACTTATTCATTTATTTTTAGTGTCAAATTTTTGTGTACAAGACTTCATGCAATGGAAAAAAAAATGGGATGATGCTTCTACCTTTCATTTCCAATGGATGCGAGAAACAATATTAATTCTCAAATCTTTTTTTTTTTTTTTTTTTTTTAAAGATTTTTGCCATAGGGCTTGTGTGCTTACTGGAGAGACAGAGACAGGGAGAGTATGAAGTCACCCCTAGGGGGGATGGCCACACTGCAGTCTTTTCTCCTCCATTCTCAGGATTTTGGGCACATACACACATTTGCCTTGTGTGTTTTTCTTTTCTTCTATTTCTTTCTTTCTTTTTTATTTTATTTTATTTTTTTAAAGGTTTTTGCCATAAGGCACATGCATACACTAGAGAGACAGTGAGAGGGAAAGAAAAAAATCACTCCCCCGGGGGATAGCCACACTGCAGTTCCTTCTCCTTCTGGGATTTTGAGTTTCAAACCACTGGGTCAAGAACTGAAATCAGGGACCAGCAGTTAGCGTGATGGCTATGTCGCTGGACTCCCATGTATTGGACCGCAGTTCAAGTCCCAGACCTGGTGGCTTAAAACTCATGCTCAGTGCATGTGCATGTGTGCCCAAGATCCCGGGAGGAGAATGGAGGAGAAGGGATTGCGGCATGGCCATCCCCCCTGGGGGTGATTTCTTGCTTTCTGTCTCTCTGTCTCTCTCTTTCTGGCGAGCGCATGCTCCCTATAGCAAAAACCTCTCCAAAAAAAAAAAAAAGAACTCAAATCACACAGTCAGCCATGTATTTTTCAAGGCCTTAACCTCCACACAACCTACTGACTCTAATTAGTAACTTTTAATGCTCTGCACACTTTTTTTTTTTTAGTTGCCAGTGTATGTATGTGTGCTTTTCAGAGAGACAAAGAGTGGGAGAAAGCATCTTCCCAAAGGGGTATGATCACACTCTATCTCTTCTTCATTTGTCCATTCTGTCAGAATTTTTAAAAATTTAACTTTATTAATTTATTCATTCATTTCATTTTTTAATTTGACCAGAGAAGGGACAGAGAGGGGGTGGGAGGAGAAAGCGAGAAAACAGCTACCAGGTCTGGGACTTGAACCACAGTCAGCCATGTGGGAGTCCAGCATCCATAACCACTACGCCCCCGGCCTGCCCCCAATTCTGTCAGAATTTTGAGCAGGCATGCCTGGGATTTTTTATTTTTTATTATTTTACCTTTTAGCTTTATTATCAGTTAAATAATCTGTTCAGAAATGTGTTGTCATGAGGCCGGCAGGTGGTGCACCAGGATTCAAACCACACTGTTAGCCATGTGGAGTCCAGCTAACTTAACCACCACCACAGCTGACTTGCTCATCATTTTCATTTTTTTTAAATGTTAAATGCAACAATTTTGAAACATTGTTTTCAATTTATACAATTTGTGTTGTGAGAATAAGAAACAAAAACTCAGCTCAGTGAAAAATAAAAACTTGTACTTAATGGAAAGTAGACACAATTCTGTGAAGAAAAAAAGCAGGATATGATAGGTACTTATAGTCTCACCTTTGCAAAATGTACATAAATACACATTTTAATAATAGTAAAATGTATCATTTGTTTTTAAATAATTACTTATTTAATTTTTTAAAAGAATTATTTAACTTTATTGACTTATTTTAATTTGATTAGAGAAGAACAGAGTGTGAGAGAGAGAGGGAAAGTGAAAAAGCAAGCCACCAGATCTGGGACTCAAACTATAGTCGGCCATGTGGAAGTTGAACACCTTTAACCACAATGCCACCTGTTGGCCCCAATAATTGTAAAATTTATCTTTATATTTTAAAAGTTTATTTATTTCTTCATGAGTGAGGAGAGAGATACAGCACCCTCAACAGGGCCTTGATGCCAGGGTCCACCCTCAGCTTCATTCACTCCAGGTTTTCTCAGTGTGCTCTGGGGAATCTCCAGAACCTTCCCATGTGAGTCAGCCTCACAGAATGTCTCTCTCTTTTTTTTTTTTTTTGGCTGCACCACCATCTGGCCCCATATATCTATATTATTAACTGAGTTTTAAACCTAAACCACTTGATTCTTAGCAAAGGTTAATAGAAAAAATATTGCAGTTTGATTTTTGATTTCTGCCTGTGGAGCCTATGAGACCTGTTAAAGTATTCAGACGTCCTGGTAGGTTTCTGCCAACAACACATCTGCTGCTTGTACTTCGTTGTCATCTAGTGATAAAATAATGCGTTGCCCACCCACTGTACTCTTACAAGATGCAGAGCAACAAGCCACAAAGGCACACATGTTTAGCCAGCTGTTGTTGAATAACAATGAAACTATTAAACACTTCACACCTGGACCATCCCTGGGTAATAGTGTTACTCTAATTGAGCACTTTGTTTTTCCTATAGTAGCAAGCATGTACTTGTACAGATCTCCTAGATCTTCTGGTGTCTAGTGACATCTGCTTATGAGGAAGACTCTCTCGATAGTACAGTGACTTAGAACCTAACAAACTCCATGTTTTCCTGTTTCCTTACACTTAGCTTTTGCTTTTTTGTTGTGCTGTTTTTTTTTCCTATTCTTAAAACTCATTATGTGGACTCAAAGATGTTTCAAATACTGATATTTGGAACCAGCAGTTAGCATAATGGCTATGTTGCTAGACTCCCACGTAGTCGACTGTGGTTCATGTCCCAGACCTGGTGGCTTAAAACTCATGCAGGGCGTGTGTGTGTGCGTGCCCAAGATCCTGAGAGGAGAATGGAGGAGAAGGGATTGTGGCGTGACCATCCCCCCCTGGGGGGGGATTTCTCGCTTTTTGTCTCTGCCTCTCTCTGTCTGTCTGGCGAGTGCACGCGCCCTATAGCAAAAAAAACCTCTCCAAAAAAAAAAATTTTAAAAAAAGAAAAAAAATACTGATATTAATTGCATACAGCTTTATAAAAAACATTTTCTTCACAAGACTAGCAGTTAGCATAATGGCTATGTCGCTGGACTCCCATGTAGTTGACCATGGTTTGCATCCCAGACCCAGTGGCTTAAAACTCACACCGGGCGCATGTGCATGCGTGCCCAAGATCCTGAGAGGAGAATGGAGGAGAAGGTATTGCGGCGTGGCCATCCCCCCTTGGGGGGGGGTGATTTCTCACTTTCTGTCTCTCTGTCTCTGTCTGTCTGGCAAGCACATGCGCCCTATGGCAAAAACCTCTCCAAAAAAAAAAAAAAAAAAAGAAAACATTTTCTTCAAAAGAATGAAGGAAAACCAGAGATGAAGAATTGAAGTTTTAATTATTTTTGTGGTAAAACTGTAACTGTTGGGTCAGCCCGGCTGAACAACAGCTCTGGCAGGTCATAGTTGGAAGGCCACTAAAGACCACCTGGGAGCAAAAAACACAGGGTTTGATTTTTTAAATTAATCTATTTTTTAAAATGTCATAGGACAAATGCATGAGACAGAAAGAGGGGGAAAGCAACCCCAAATGGGGCGTGGACCTTCCACAATCTTTCCTCCATTTCTCCATCCCATCAGGATTTAGGGCATGTGTACACATGCATCTGGTGTGTTTTTCAAGGTGCCGGGGCTGGCATTTGTATCCAGGTGGTCATGTGGGATTTGACTCCCTATGCACAGTGCTTAACTGCTGTGTTGTGAGGCCAGCCCAAGAATACAGACATTTGAATAAACTAGTTACTGTGATTTTAATGTTGGGTTGTTTCAGAGTTAGTGACCTCGTAGCAGAGCATTCCCATTTACTCAGAGTGCTGTACCAATTATAAATAAAGATGGATTGCTGTGGTTCTTATTTCTCAAGAACTATGAAGGGTCTGAGATTTTATACTACTTCCAAGCCAACAAGTTAGTTTGCTCTGGTTTCATGGATGCTAGAAGAAGTCATGAGATTCCAGGTCAGTTATCAGTCACGGTAATAGCAGTAGCCAGAATGTCAGCTGGTGAACCAGAATGTTCATTTGCCAGTTCCATCAGACTGGTGCAAAGAGGTCCAGGTGACACCTAAACGTGAAATTGGGTACATTACAGAGAATTCTTAAAAAGTTTTTATCCAAAATGTGTTTATTGGGCTGGTTTCCCACTCATCTTGAGTCAGGATGCTTTTAGTGCTGCTTTGTCCTGAAGGAACATCCTCTGTAAGCCTCGCTTTTCCTCCTGTAGGCTGGCAGAGGACAGTGGAGCAGCCAACGCACAGAACTACCATTCGTGCCTGGCTAAAGACTGGTGATTTTACAGCATCCTGGGCACGTCACATCCATGAAGTAGGAATTTGGGCTCTGCACCAGGCGCTTTTTCTTGTGTTTCCTTCTCTTCTGGAGAGGGATGGAGCTCCTTGGTGAGTGGCATGTTCTAGTGTGGAGGTCATCACTGCTGGAAAGGCCAGAGAAATTATTATACTAGACAGTAAGCAGACTTGACCTCTGCTCCACAGAGTGACACATTTTCTGCCTTCCAAGGCTTTTCACTATGCCACCATTTTTTAAAAGTTAGTTTGGGGACCAGCAGTTAGCATAATGGCTATGTTGCTGGACTCCCACGTGGTTGACCACGGTTCGAGTCCCAAACCCGGTGGCTTAAACTCACGCCGGGCGCGTGTGCGTGCATGCCCAGGATCCCGAGAGGAGAATGGAGGAGAGGGGATTGTGGCGTGGCCATCCCCCCAGGGAGTGATTTCCTGCTTTCTGTCTCTCTGTCTCTCTCTGTCTGTCTGACGAGCGCACGCGCCGTATAGCAAAAACCTCTCAAAACAACAACAACAAAAAGTTAGTTTGGAAGAAAAGCAGTCCACATTTCTGTTCACAAAATTTACACAAAAGTGAGAGACTTACGGAGAATTGTCTCTACTGCTGTCCATTAAGATTTTTCCTTCATACATAATGTTACGTGGATCAACACGTATAGAGCAAATCAGATAAATGTGTTTCTTTCCTTCCTTTTTAAAACATTTCACCAATACCTTGTATCTATATAGCACATTTAAAGGCCAGTCACATCTGTTTTTGTGTTGTCCTCATAGTCTCTATGAAATAAAGCAAGCAATGTCAGCATTAAACAGATAAAAAAATAAAAACATAACTAGCTGCACAAATATTCTGATTGCCAGAATGTGGCAACTTTATTTTATTTCTTAGAGATAGGTTCTTGGTATGTTTTCTAGGCTGCCCTTGAATTTGTGATTCTCTCGTTTCAACCTCCTGAGAAGCTGGAGTTAGAGGTACATGTCACCATGCTTGGCTTTTGGGCGTATTTCTGGGTCATTTAACCTATTCAAAGCTTGATATAAAAATCACATTTTTTCTTTCACAACCATAAGCCAGGTATCACTTCTCAATTTAGTACTGACAGATGATAACTCTTATTTTTATGTCTGCCTAGTACATAGAAGGGCTCAAAAAATATTCCTTAAACGATTGAGTGAACAAGAGTTTTTGTTTGTTTTAACATACTACATTTCCTTTGTTTATGCTAGAGCCCATGAGGATGAGCAAGAGAGAGGAACACCCTCCAAAGGCTCTGTTCCCATGGTGATCCCCTTCAAGCCTTCCAGCCCTCCCACCCATCAGACCTTGGACAGTCTCACAAGTGCCTGGTATGTTTCAGGCTGACCTGGTCGAGAATTAGAGTCACAGCCACTGCACAGGATCTGTCTTTTCTTGACAGTGCATTTCCATTGTGCCCAAGACAACTTTTCTTACACTCAAATGATCAAGTTCTAACACATGTGACTGCATCCCTTAAAAAGTCAGGCTGCTACATTAATTACTCTGAATACTTTTGGGTAACAGATTTAGCCTGCATGATTTATAATTTACAATTTTCTATATACGAAATAACTTAATTATCTCTTTTATGTAAACGGTGACATCAGTGTGGACATTTATAGCATTTTTTTTAAGGACTAAAACAGCCACTTGAATTTAGTGATTTTATTTGCATTTCTAGGAATTCTGACTCTTTTCAAATCTGTGTGGTCATTTAAAAATATATTGTTTGTCAAGATTCGGTATCTGAAAATACATTTTTGTGACGTTCTTGAAGATGTAAATTCTGTCATTTTTCTGCTTATTTTCATTCATGATAGCTTTTAGCTTTTTTCATGTGTTTATAATTGCATTGAGAGCTCATCTAATCTCTTTGTGCCATGGATTTTTTACTTATTCACCCTTTTGCCGAGGAGAAAGCTCTCTGAAGGTTGCAGCTTTATACAGGAAATCTGTTTCCTCTCTGCCTTGTATGGGCCTCAGGCTTTGCCTTCTGTCGTATGTGATCAGTTAACTCCACTGATTTTTCAACCCCCTCTTGGTTCTTGGCCTTTTTGCTATTTTGTGAAATTCACCATTTATTTAAAATGATGCATGTTCTATTTATCTAACATTTTAAACGTATTATCTATTTTATTTATCATTATTACTTTTTTTGAGAGAGAGAAATTTTTGGTATAGGGCACATGTGCTTGCTGGAGAGACAGAAACAGAAAGCAAGAAATCACCCCCTAGGGGAGATGGTCACACCACAATCCCTTCTCCTCCAGTCTCCTCTTAGGATTTTGGGCATGGATGAACATGTACCCAGCATTAGTTTTAAGCCACTGGGTCTGGGACTTAAACCACGGTTGACTATGTGGGAGTCTAGCAACATAACCATTTCACCATCGGTTGACTACGTGGGAGTAGTTGACTACGTGGGAGTCTAGCAACATAACCATTTCACCATGGTCCCATTATTACTATTTTTTAACTTACTATAGTTATTAGAGACAGAGAGAGAGGAGAAAAGTGAAAAAACAAGCTCCCAGGTCTGGGACTTGAACCACAATTGGTCATATGGAGTCCAGCACCCTACCCATCACACCACCTGCTGACCCATCCGACTTTTTTTTTTTTTTTTGGAGAGGTTTTTGCTATAGGGCGCATGTGCTTGCCAAAAAGAGAAAGATAGACAGAAAACAAGAAATCCTCCCGCCCAGAAGGGATGGCCATGCTGCAATCCATTTTTCCCTCGGGATCTTGGGCTCACGCCAGCATGAGTTGAAGCCACTGAGTCTGGGACTTGAACCACAGTCAAACTACATGAGAGCCCAGCGACATAGCCATTATGTCAACTGCTAGTCCTGCCATCCAGTATTTTTAAATGTCTCTTAAGAGATTCTTTTTAGGATATTTTGTCAACCATGTTCTCAAAAATTAAAGTCTCCAGTTATGTTAATTCAGTATTGCTAAAGTTACTGTGCATGATGGATGTAAATATATAATTCATAGGAACACAGTCAGCCTTTTTGTATCAGTATTTGTCATTGTAAAAATACATTCTATTCTGTGTGTGTGTGTGTGTGTGTGTGTGTGTGTGTACATGTGTTTAAGCTTATGTATTTCCTTCTTCCACGAGGAAGAGAGACCATGAAAGATGAGAGAGAAGAGTGAGAGACAGGCACCTCTAGCAGGTGTTGGATGCTACCGTTCAACCCTAGCTTCAGCCAGCCCAGATCATAGACACGTACAGAGCGTGCTCAGGGAAGTCTCTGGGTGTGACCCTGGAACCTTCCCACAGCCTTGTCGAGTATTGTGTTGTAACTGTGTCTCTGTCCAGTCCCAAAATATATACTTTTTTTTTTTTACCTGATAAGTGGGTGTTGAAGTTTGAAATTCTGTTGATAGGTTGGAGAGATTAAAAATATATTAATAAAAACTAATTATTAATCTAGGCTGCCATGACCCAGAGAAGTAGTGAATTTTTGTATGTACTTATTTTAAGGAAACTGAAATGTAATTGTTACTTTTTTTTTTTTTTAAGAATTATTTATTTAGGGGTTGACAGGTGATATGATGGTTAAAGGTACTGGATTCCCACATGGCCAACTGCAGTTCAAGTCCTGAACTTGGCGGGGTTGTTTCTCATTTTCCTTTCATTTTCCTTTTCTCTCTGTCTCTGTCTCTGTCTGGTCAAATTAAAAAATAATAATAATAACAAATGGAATTAAATAAATAAATAATTCTCTTTTTTTTTTTTTAAGAATCATTTTATTCAACTTTTATTTATTTATTTATTTTAATTTGACCAGAGAGGTACAGAGTGAGAGAGAGAGAAAGTGAGAAAGCAAGTCGCCAGGTCCGGGACTCAAACTGTGGTCACCCAAGTGGGAGTCCAGCACTTCTAGCCACCATGCCACCTGTTGGCCCCAATAAATAATTCTTTAAAAATTATTATCTAATTTTATTATTACTGTTTTTTAATTTGCTATAGGGCACATGCACTCCCGAGAGAGAGAAGTGAAAAGGTAAATTGCCAGGTCCAGGACTCGAACTGTGGTCAGCCATGTGGGAGTCCAGTGCCTCAACCACCATACTGCAGTGCTGGCCCATAATTGTTACTTTCATTTTAGAAACTCTTTATCATTTAAAGAGGGTATGATGTTTATTATAATTGTTAATTTGTTTTTAATTAGAGTCTTCTGGGTAACATTTTTGATACATTATACTTCAAGGCAAAAATACAGACTATTTTATATTTCTTGGAAGAGAAGGAACCACTTACTGGGAAGCTCTTTCTGATTATTTGAATTTTGTTATGCAAGTTTAATTAAAAATTAGAATTAAATTAGAATTATAAGAGCTTGTGAAAGGAAATAGAAAAGATAAGAAATAAAAGGTAAGCACTTAGCCCTAGTGCAAGGGGTATGTGACAGACCCACATGTGGTGGTTGAGTCTTTCCATTTACCACCCTGGAAGTACATTCAGAATTTCCCCCTCAATTTGGCTGCTTTTAGGCAGTGAAATCAACATTACTCAGGCTTAATTTGAATTCACTGGGGATATTTGTCCTCATTTCTTTTGAAAGATAAAATTGGAGAGCAGATAGCTGGATTCTTGAATTACTTATTTCTAATCTCAGTTATTTGCTGAGATGACCTATAGAAAATTCCCATTCCACCCCCCCCCCTTTTTTTAAACTAAGGTACTCTAAGACTATCTTTGTTTAGCATTTAAATACTTATACTAGCGACTGAGGGGCAAGAGGGTAGAATATCTACATGAAAGTTATTATGAAAATCCCTGAACTCCCAGGGGACAATAAGGGGAAATTTTGACTACAGCTGCTTCACTTCTGTAATGACTGATCAGGGATGCAAATCAAGATCAAATCTGTACAGATTTGCTGGGCTGTTATTGCTAAAGTCCTAGGTTTGAGTTTCAATATTGGATGTGGAGAAAAGGGTAGAACTTGATCTTCATGAGTATTAAAATTAGTCTCCGAAATGAAAAATCAGGATAAATCTTCTATTTTGTGTAGTTCATCCATGGCATTTTCTTATGTGTTTTCTTACTTTACTTTGTATAGTTCTGTGTTGCTACATATCATTTTCCCGAGACCCATGAACTTACATGATTTCAGGTTGTAGGGAAGAAAAAAAGGCTCCTTCCTCACCCACTGTAAGGTTCATGGCTGACACTCCTATTACAAAAGACAGATAAACGAGAAAATAATATAGATTTATTTCATGTAAGTCTTGTGTAACATAGGAGCCTTTAGTAATAAAGACCCAAAGACCCAAGGAAAACTTACTTTTGACTCAGATTTGATGAAGAAAGGACAATTCTTAGTGTATTTGTTTTGTTTTGTTTTGTTTTTTGGTATTTGTTATAAGGTGCCTGGGCTGTCCAGAGAGAGTCAGAGAGAGAGGGAAAATTGAGAAATCACACCCCGGGGGGGAATGGCTATGCTGTAACCCTTTCTCCATTCTCCTCTCAGGATTTTGGGCCTGCATGCACATGAGCCTGGCATGATTTTCAAGCCTCCAGGTCTAGTACTTGAACTGTGGAGTTGCCCATGTGAGATTCATATGTCTTAACCCCCACACCACCTGCTGCCCCCAAAGGACAGTTGTATAGAAGTATAATTGGAATATGACCCAGTGATATTAAACTGGGGGGCCTGTTTAAGAAGCCCTATTTGTTCAAATTCTTCTTGACATTTCTGTGTGACATTGCTTTCCTCTGGATGTAAGACAGGACACCTGTCACATGAGGCTTTTCAAGAAAGGTCAAAGAGACCTTTTTGCTTCTAAGCTTTTCTTAATTTCCTTCAGCCTAAAGTACACAGTATGTCAAGATGCCATATTTTAGGATATCATGTTCAGAGTCCCAACAAGGTCACTAATGATAGCACTTGTACTATAATTGATTTCTGTGAATTCTTAGTTCCATTTCCGATGTATAGTATACCCAGTACCTTCTCAAATTCCAGTGAATGATGAAACATGCTGATCACAGTGTCACCTCCAAAGTCATTCAGTTTGTCATCCCAGTTAATTGAGAAAGGATAAACGCATAGGTCAATATAATAGAATGTAGAGTTTAAAATTAGACACCCAGATACATGGTAGTTGATTTTCAGCAAAGATGACTCAGTGGAGACAGGGTAGTCTTTTCAAGTGGGACTGGAACAATTAGACAGGCATCGTGTTGAGGGGGAAAAAAGAACATAAGCCATACCTTGAACCACATACAAAAATTGATTCAAAATAGATGATAAAACCTCCCAGATAAATATATATTTAATTGCCAAGAGACACATGTGCTCAGCAGAGAGAGAAAACACCACTTCATGTGATGTGGTCATACTGCAAACCTTTTTCCTCTCTTCCCCCCCCATCAGAATGTGGGGCATATATGCATACATGTCCAACATGTTGTTTAAACTGCCAGGGCCAGGATTCAAACCATGGTTAGCTCTATGGTACTCGACTCCCTATGCACTGTGCCTAACCACTGTGCTGCAGGGCTGGCCTATCTCCCAGGTATTTTCTTTAAATTTCTAGCTTCTCTTATTCTTTAAACAGTGCCTTTTGCAGAGCAAAGGAAGAAAATAGGGAGAAATGCTTGTGATCTTGAGTTAGGCAAAGAATTCTTAGATATGATATCAGAAGATATAATCCATAAAAGAAAAAGATAAATAAAACTGTATTAAAATTAAATTTTGGGAGCAGCAGGTGGCATGATGGTTAAGGCACTATACTCCCACTTGACTGACCACTATTTGAGTCCTGGGCCTGGTGGCTTGCTTTCACCCTTTCTCTCTCTCTTGCTCTCTCTCTCTCTCTCTCTGTCTCTCTCTGGTAATCACTTATAGCAAATTAGAAAATAATGATTTTATTTTTTAATTAAAAACTTCTGGGCTAGCTCCATAGTGCAGTGGTAATGCGCTGCTCAAGAGAAGCCAGATCCCACATGGTGACTGTGGTTCAAATTCCCTGGCCATCAGCATGAAACATGTTGGGCATGATTGGGAGGACCCATGATCTGACAGACTGGAGGGCTGGAGGAAAAAAATCACGGTGTGTCCAGAGCCTGTGGAAGGTATTCATCTATCTCTTTTTTTGTTTAAGAGGTTTTTTTTTTAAATTATTTATTTATTTTTACATTTTCCCACATTTACTTTACATATCAAAACATATTTTGCTTATAGTCCATAGTTCTTGAGAGTTAATAAACAACTTTCAAAATTAAAAAAAAATCCATTTTAGAGATAATGTTAGAAATATTTGTTATAATTTTGTTTATGACTCTATAACAACAGAGACAGTATGGTTTTAAATATTTTTGGGAAAATATTTACATGTCAGCGACTCAAAGTGTTGAAAAGCAAACACCCAGCACACAGTTCACATATAAACCTTCTCAATTTAGCCCTGCCTACTAGATATTCTGTGATATACCATCTGCTAGCAAAGATCAGTCTCTTTTCCTTTCTTCAAAGTCTTCCTCAAGGTAATCCTCTGGTTGTGGCTGCACTTTTCCAATCTCTACTGATTATAATGCTGGACTAGAAAAGTCCAAGTTATTTTATGGTACAAATTCTTTCATATAGCTTCTCTAATCAAGAGAGTTTTTTGTTGTAGTTCTTTGCTTTTTGTTTGTTTGTTTGTTTTGCTATAGGGCACGTGTACTTACCAGAGAGACAAAGAAATAGAAAGCAAGAAATCACCCCCCCCCTAGGGAGGGGGGGACTGTCCATGCTGAAATCCCTTTTCCTTCATTCTCCTCTCGGGATTTTGGGCACACATGTACACATGCCTACCATGAGTTTGAAGCCACCGGGTCCAGACTTGAAACTGTAGTCTACTACGTGTGAGTCCAGTGACATAACCATTACTCTATCTGCTGATTCCCATCTCTCTCTTTTAATGTGGTTATGCTCATGTTCTGTCATGAATAAAGGAAATATATGTTTGTAAAAATTAGAAATTTCTGGGGACCAGCAGGTGGTATGGTTGTTAAGGTGCTGGACACTCCCACATGGCCGACCATGGTTTGAGTCCTGGACCTGGCAACTTGCTTTCTCATTCTTCCTCTCTCTCTGTCTCTCTCTGGTCAAATTAAAATAAATGAATGAATAAATAAAACAAAATAAATAATTATATTTAAAAAATTAGAAATTTCTGGGACTAGCAGATAGTACAATGGTTACAGCACTGGGTGCCCACATGGCCAACCTTGGTTCTAGTCCCAGACCCAGTGGCTTCAAATATACCAGGCACATGTGTGTGTGTGTGCTCAAAATTCCAAGAGGAGACTGAAAGAGAAAGGACTGCAGCATGGCCATCCTTCTGAGGGGTGATTTCTCACTTACTGTCTCTCTCTGGCAAGCAAAATTCTTTCTTAAAAAAAAAAAAGTAAGAATTTCTGTTCCCTTAAAGATACCTTTAAGGGACTTAGAGATAGCCAGACACTAAAAAGCAGTGTGGCAGTGTGTCGTGTGTGTGTGTGTGTGTGTGTGTGTGTGTGTGTGTGTATGTGTGCATGTGTATGTGTATATATATGATAAATGCTTTATATCTAGAACATTTGAAGAATTTTTTTGTAACTCAGGAATACGATAACTCACAAAAGAAATTGTCAAAGATTAAGGCAGGAATCACACCAATGAAGATGCATCAGTGGCAGATAAGCACATGAAAAGATACTCAGCATCATCAATTATTAGGAGAATGCAAATTAGAACCATAGTGAAATTGTACTACCTATCTGTTAATGTGCCTATTTTCTTTTTTATTTTTCTTTCTTGCTAGAGGGCAATTGTGTGTGGAGATGGTGGGCAAGAAAGCAGCCCCCATGAGGGATGATCACACTGTTATCTCTTCTCCAATTCTCCTTTGGGGATCTTGGACATGCATATACATGTGCCTGGTATATTTTTAGTCCTCCAGGTTCATAACAAACTCTGCCCTCAGCCGTCTAGGATCCAGCCACCCTAACTACCAAACCACCATCTGGCCCAGTGGCTGAGATTTTTAAAAACTGGTAATTCTAAGTGTGGACAAGGATGTGATTGCAGTTGAGACTTTACAGACTTTTTTAGAGATGTTTTTGCTATAGGGTGCAGAGACAGAGAGGGAGAAAGTAAGAAATCATCTCCCAGAGGGGATGGCCATGCCACAATCCCTTCTCCTGCATTATTCTCTTAGGATTTGGGGCACGCATGTATATAATTTGTCAGGTCTGGACTCAAACTGCGGTTAGCCATGTGGGAGTTTAGCACCTTAACTACTACACCACCTGCTGGCCCTGCAATTGAGACTCTTACACATTACTGCTGGGACCAGAAACAGTACATTTGAAAAGCATTTTGGCAGCTTTTTTTTTTTTTTTTAAGAATTATTTTATTTATTTATTTATTTATTTAAATTTGACCAGAGAGGGACAGAATGCGAAAGAGAGAGAGTGAACGTGAGAAATCAAGTTGCCAGGTCCAGGACTCAAACCACAGTCAGCCATGTGGGAGCCCACCACACCACCTGTCAGCCCCTGGCAACTTATTATTATAGAACTAAACACATACGTACTCTATGGCTCAGCAATTGTACTCTTAGGTATTTATTTACCAAATGAAGTAAAAAATTATCTTCATATAAAAACCTGTACACAAGCATTTATAGCAGCTTTATTTTCATTGTTGGGAGTATGTGTACCTGCCAGAGGCACAGAGAGAAAGGGGTGTGGTCATACCACAATTCTTTCTCTTCCATTTCTCCATTTCATCAGGATTATGAGCATGCACAAAAATACACCCGGTGTGGTTTTTCCAGCCTCTGGGGCTGGAATTTGAACTGCATTTGGCTCTGTGGGATCTAGCTTTCTATGCGTAGCATTTAACCACTGTGCTATGGGGCCAGCTCTCTATAGCAGCTTTTTAATAATTAGCAAAAATGCCCTTCAGTGGGGACCAGCAGTTGGCATAATGGCTATGTCGCTGCACTCTCATGTAGTTGACTGCAGTTGAGTCCTGGACCTGGTGGCTTAAACTCAAGGTGGGCGCGTGTGCGTGTGTGCCTAAGACCCTGAGAGGAGAATGGAGGAGAAGGATTGAGGCGTGGCCATCCCCATGGGGGGTGATTTCTCGCTTTCTGTCTCTGTTTGTCTCTGTCTTTCTGGAAAGTGCATGCGCCCTAGATCAA